CCCCAAAGCATGGTTTCTTCCTCTCCAGTAACCAGCAGCGAAATGCCGCCTCACGTAACTGCCTTGGCTTTTGAGGATTGCCAAAACTTGGTGATTTTTTTTTTTGGGGGTGGCTGTTTTCCCTAAATAAGCTGCTCCCGCTCTCAACAAAAGCCCCTGTTTTATTGAAGTGTGTTGTGCAAGCGCTCTCCTGACACCTAAACCGCTCCGCGATTGTTCCAGCGAGGCTTTTCTGCTTTGGTTTTTGCCTGCTTTGCACTTTAGATTTAAAAAAAAAAAAATAAAAACAGCAATCTCGCTGTTGTCCCCGTTTGCAGCCTTGGGTTGGGGTGGGGGTCTGCTCCCAGCAGATTTTTCTTGGGGAGCAGATTTCTGTGGCCGTGGAGGCTCCCGTGTGTTGTGCATCCCCCAGGTTGTGTTTTCTGGGTCTCGGGCTTGGGTTTCTGACTGATTTCTGAGCGCGCAGAAATGCTCCTAATCCTGGTGCTATCACCAGGCAAATCCCAGGTGAGAAAGGTGAAAATCCCCGTTTTTGAGCCCGGAAAGGCCCCGGGGAAGGGCGGTGCAGGGCGCTGCGCCGCATCCCGGCACTCGGCTCCCCCGTGATGATGTGTTTGGGTGTGCTAACGTCTTCACTCGTTATTTTTGTCAGGAACGCGCGGCGCAGCTAAAATCGGGCTGAGCAGCTCTGATTAAAAATAGAGCCAAGCGCGTATTTGTCCTGGCTGTACCGAATTAGCGCGCTCGTTTGCTGGGATCTGACCCCAATAACGCCGCCTTTCACGCTCCTTCCAGGGAAGTACTTGTCCAAATCATTTGACGAGGTGCTATCACCTCTAATTCTTAGCTTTGTTTCCTCGTGTGTCTGTCCTGCTTGGTAAGAATACACGATCTGTTGCTGGCTGAAAATGATCCCGGACAGCGAAGGCCGGTGGAAGGCAAACAGTGATTTATTTGGGTTGGTTCAGCTCCCAGTAAACAGCTCAGGAATGCTCTGAAATCGCCTCCCAGGATCATGAAAGGTAGAAAATAAAGGAAACTTTTGAGGACGTTGTGAATTCCTTTTTTGGACTTTCTAACCCGGATCTGTCTCCCCTGGCCAGCATGAACAGTTGAAGTCCCTGAGTTGTGTTTTCAGTTGTCAATCCGGGTCAGAATTATGATTTATAATCTTTCATTTTGGGGAGGTGTTTAAATAACCACAGAAACTGGCTTTTTGGAGATTATTTCGTTTTGTTACCTTTACGCCGTTGAATTGAACACCTTCGCCTCTCCGAGCAGAGCGTGTGTGGGACGACACAAAAAGTGCCTTTCCACAGCCAGAAAAAGAGGTGGATTTAACCAAAACGTTATCATAGCATGGTTTTCGTATCAAAACCTCTGAGTTTTGGTCTCTGCCCTCGGTTGGTGACACTTTAGGAGATCGGGAGCGCTTGTTGTTTGTAATAAACCCATGCGTGGCTTCAGCCCCACCTCAGAGCCATCAGCCACGTCCGTCCTCAGACCTGAGCGAGCGTTTCTGATCGTGGTCAGACAGCAATTCGCTGTTTCCCAATCGGCAGCGAACTCCTTTGGAAAGTGGAGAGAGGAAAGGAGGGGGAGCTTCCTGCCACAGAGTTGGGTGTGCTGGGACCGGAGCGGTGCTGCAGCTCTCCCGCTGTGACTCACCCTCTCTTGTTGCCCGGTTCCCTCTCCTGTCAGCCGGTCCCCTCTCTTCTAACCCGGTCCCCTCTCTTGTCGCCCGGTCCCCTCTCTTGTCGCCCGGTCCCCTCTCTTGTCGCCCGGTCCCCTCTCTTGTCGCCCGGTCCCCTCTCTTGTCGCCCGGTCCCCTCTCTTGTCGCCCGGTCCCCTCTCTTGTCGCCCGGTCCCCTCTCTTGTCGCCCGGTCCCCTCTCTTGTCGCCCGGTCCCCTCTCTTGTCGCCCGGTCCCCTCTCTTGTCGCCCGGTCCCCTCTCTTGTCGCCCTCGCCCGGTCCCTCTCTTGTCGCCCGGTTCCCTCTCTTGTCGCCCGGTTCCCTCTCTTGTCGCCCGGTTCCCTCTCTTGTCGCCTGGTTCCCTCTCCTGTCGCCTGGTTCCCTCTCTTCTAACCCGGTTCCCGCTCCTGTCGCCCGGTCCCCTCTCTTGTCGCCCGGTCCCCTCTCTTGTCGCCCGGTCCCCTCTCTTGTCGCCCGGTCCCCCCTCTTCT